GGGGGGGGGGTTTCAACGTATGTCTACCTTCATGCTTATGTTGTTGAGCCTTTAGAAAAAATTGGTGCTTCTTCCTTGTGACGGGCTTTCTTTCCGACGCCCGAATGAAGCACCGAGAGAAGGCGGGGTGGAGAGTGCGAGGGAAGGCGGGATTATTTAATTGCTGGCCGTGGCTAGGATAGGAGCTCGCCTTGGCGGAGGTGCTGCAGTTTACAGCGGCCACTTTTGTAGCATCGTCTTTGACTGGTCCCCCGGGTCCTTCTAAAAGCACGTTGGAAAAGTCTTGGAGTGCGTCTTTTCCCGCGGACCAATTTCCTGTGCGGGGTTTCCGGGCTGTAGGCATGCATGAACCTGTTGTAGGACTTCTGTTTTTTCCTGTGGCACTATAGACAAGCCAACCCAATCCCATGTCATTGCCCCTTCTCTGTGGGCATGCCTAGAATTTGCCGTGTAAGGTACCCTGGAGGCAGCGATGATGGCCGAATGCTGTCGCGGTTCGGTACAGCAGTAGCGGTCGTTCAGGCTGCGCTGCGCGAGAGCTTTTTCCCCACAGATGGTGTGCTCGTTTCTTGGTGCGGGCGGGAGGGGGAAACAAAGGAATAATGTCGCTGGCGGCTTCGGGCGCCGACTTCCGTTCGCTAGAGAACGGTTATCTTTGCTGGTGCTCTCTGCTCCTGTTACTGTTCTGATTCTACAATTTACAAGTGTTAATGATTCAACCGTTAAATAATGGGGGGCGATTGATCGCCGGCCGATCACAACTTTTTTTTTTGTGCTTGCCGGCACGAGCGGCGCTTTTCTGGGATGTTCAAGGCTCGGACCCGGAATTGCTCCGCGCGTGGGATGAAATTGTTGTTGGAGAAACCGCCGGTACTTCTCTTCACTTTTCTGTGCGTGTGTGTGTGCATGTGTTACCCGTTGTCGGTTTCAAGGCCGGCTGCGGAGCAGTTACATACCATTGAGAAACGACGAGAGCGACAGGGCAGAAATAGTATTATAGTACTAGTAGCAGCGCAACGGTTAACAGCCTCTGCTACCACATGATGTATGTGCCTCGCGCGTGCTTTGCTGTCCTCTCTTGGCTCCGGAGGTGAAGTCGCTCGCATGGCCAGTGGTCCGTGTCGCGACAGAAAATCTGGGCGCTTGATCTTGTCAACAGCGATGGACGTTGACGGCTGCTGCTGCTGCTGCTGACGAAAACTACAAAATGGGTGACAATATGCGGGCGCTGAAGAGAAACACGCCTCATTTGTGGACGCCAAGCCGCACGAGGGCATCATAACCCTTTCATCAGTCGCTTTTTTTTACGTTGCGCCGTTTCCATGCTGAACCATACCGACCGTTATCATGGCCTACACGGTACTCGCAACAGCAGACAAAGGTATCTACTGTAGTGGAGGTATGCCGTCATCATATGCATAATAAGCCAGAACCAAATCAGTTCAAATCTACCGCCTAGTCTAATGGTTGTTCGGTGGCGACGATTGACCATGGCCTACTCTGCACTGGCACAGCATAGATAGGCTTGGTTTTAAGAACTTTTCTCCGAGGCCGAATTACTTTTTTCCCTTTTTCTTTGCGCGCGCACACAGCTCTAGAGAAAACTGGGCAAATTCCCGGGACAGAAAAAAATCCCTCGAAGCAGGATCACACCCTTTGCTGCAGCCTGGCAAAAAACAACACGAAAAACGAAGTGAATGGTAGTCTTACCGCAAAGAGCGTGGAAACCACCCGCTCCCATGGCAGCGAGAGGCGATGGGGTTGTTTTTTCCCTCCCGTGTCCATCAAGAATCCCCCTTGAGCAGATAGTTTTTCGACCCCCTTCGGGAGGATATTTAGCTTTCTCCATGTTAAATATAGGGGGGGGGGGGGGGGGGGGGTCGTAACCTTACCTAACAACCCGATTTTTTGCACATTTAGACAACTGGCCGCAGCCAGGGGCGCTACAGGAGGCTCGTCGAACTCAGGCCAGACCCCCGTCCGGTCAGTTTGACATCTTCGGATTCCGGCAAAATGCTTTTGCTGTGCCTGTTTTCGTCGGTGAAACCGTCTTGCGTACCTGTCTTCGGGCAGCGGGGCTCTCGAATCTCGCCGCTGCCGGACCCCGTTTGTTGTTGGTGGTCAGACCCCCCTTGTCCTCTGAAACGAAACCCGGAAGGGCGGCTTCGATGTTGTTACCCTACAGATGGTGCACTACTTGGGCCATTTGACGGTTGCATTTTCTGTTGTTGTTGTCCATGGCTGAGCAGAGACTGGGGAACGGTTATTAAATGTGAAGACAACAACAATGATGATGTGCGACTCCGGCTAATACGCCAGAAAAAAGTAAAAGTACACCGACAGGCCTACAGGTGTGCAGACGGGACGAACACGTACACACACACGTTTCATCTGCATGGCTGAGATACACACACGTGGTGCGTGCTTCCCTTGTCACGGGGCAAGAAGAGAAGTAACGCGAAGAGTCAATCCTCCACGGTACTTGATGCAAAGCGTAGTCCCATACATACTTAAAACTCAAATTACCCCACCTGCAAGAGCAAATCGTCCACGGCAAAGACAACAGAAGCGCAACAAAAAACGGGCTCCGCCGTTTTCCTTCCACCGGTGAAAAAAAGAAGAAGCACACACACACACAACAAAACAAAACAACGGTAAGCCCAAAGAAAAACTATCACGCACGCCAGCAGTATCACGATCATCATCGCACGCGCCCCGCGGCAATAGAGGACGTGCAAGCCCCCGCCGACGTTAGCATGGGGCGACCGTCCCAGCCCGCGACACCAACACCGTCCGCCGTCGCCTCCGCAGTCTTCATGCCCTCCATTGTCGCCGACCAAGCCCTAGAGGCGCCGCTGCTTGGAGGAGCGGGGGCAGAAAGAACGCTTTCGAAGGTGATGAGCTCCCCGATCTTGGCTCCCTCTGGGGGCGACAGGGGGTCCACGCTGTAGGGGTAGGTGGGGGGTGCGGGGTGCGGGGGGTGCGGGGGGGTCACCAGGGGAACCCGAAATGGCGACAAACTCGGTTGGAATAAAGCGCAGGATAATCAAACGAGTCGGTGCTCTGTTTACGGTGGAGAAACTATATTGCCGACGTTTGCGTAGAAGGTAACTCACACCCATGGTGATTGCACCCTGCATTATCTCGACAAACAAGAAAACTTCGGAAAACTCGCTCTAATATGCCTACTCTTGGGTACAATCTACCGCCTAGAGAGATACGTTCCGACAGCGAATCGTTCGGTGCTACTGTCCAGCTTTGGTCGTTGGGCAATCGAGCTCTTAAAATCTATCCCAGAGAAGAAGACACGAAGGAAGGAGAGCGAAGGGAAACACAAAAGGTGGGTGCTCTATCGATCACCTACTGCTGCGTGGTGCAACCGAAGAATGACAGTGCACGCTACCGTGAGCAAACCGCATGAGATACGGTACCCCCTCACACAAGAGTAACGTGCCGACAAGATGGAGGTAGCTTGCAGCCACGTCTTCCCTCCTACAGAACCAACAACGCCGGTCCCTACTGAACCACACCGAGAGGAAACGTGTTCAGACGTTTGGAGGCCCCGTCATTTGCGGTCGGGAGACCTCGTTCCATATACACCATGGGTCAACCTAACCGCTGTGAACACCGAACTTCGCCCTCTTCTACTTTGAGCACTTGCAAGGATGTTGGGGATGGTTCAAGGCGGAAGACAGTAAAACACGGGTTTTGAACGTGAAGAGACTACGACAGCATCAACACACAACAGCAACGTGCCATGCGGTACATGGGGCAGTCTGGCCCACCTCGAATGATCGTCGTTGCTGGCGCACAGCAGCATCCCGGATGACGTCACGCCGCGCATGGCCCGGGAGGGGAGGTTGCAAAGCCCCACCACCATCCTCCCCCGCATCTCGTTTTCCGGAACATACGCCACAAGCCGGGACACGATCGTCTTGTCAACAGGCCCCAGACACCTTTTTTTTTTGGAAAGGGGGGGGGGGGGGGGTGTACTCATAGTCGTGCATGCCGTAGTCGTTTGACCATTGACCTCGCATCCCTACAAAGCCGGGACGGAGCACGCCGGGTTCTCACCGGACCAGGCTCTCACATCACCAAGCGCGAAGCGCCGTGAGGTATTTGGCGAGTCGCATGAAGGGTGAGCTGCATCCTGCTAAGGGTGTTCGGCATCTTGTGCTTACTTCCTTGCGTACGGATGACAGCTACGTATGACTTAATTTATTTTCTGGTGCTTTCACTTCCAGAGACAGTTGTAAGCACTGTGTAACTGCCTCGAGGAAGCTTGACCATTTTAACACAACGTGGTGCGATCATCCCCCGTTGCGCGGAGTAAGGGTTCTCAACCCCGCACAACATAATCTACTCGACCACCATTATGGTTACCGCCAAAAAAAAAAAAAGAGGTAAAAAAAAAAAAACGGTAACCTGGTTGCCGAGTTCACGAAGTGAGTTGGCTTGTTTTACAACGTCGTTGCCAAGCGACGAAAACCCAATCCCGATGGCAAACACCGAGTGGGGGGCTTGTTTTACAACGTCGTTGCCAAGCGACGAAAACCCAAACCCCGATGGCAAACACCGGGGGGGGCGGCTTGTTTTACAACGTCGTTGCCAAGCGACGAAAACCCAAACCCCGATGGCAAACAAGGCCGAGGGGGGGGGTGTGTGTGTGGGAAGGGGGGGGGTATTCGTTAGCTGCCCGTCCGGGTATCTACGTAGGAGAGAATTCGTCAATATTTCCCTTCAGTTGGGACCCCGCACCGTTCCACTCCTTCCTACTTGGAAGACCTGCAGTATTGTGGGTGCTGAGAAGAGCGACGTCGGCTGGCGGCAAGAGAAAACAATTCCCTGAGCGGGCCGCTGCAAAAATTGTCAGAGGCCGGTCGCCGTAAGGAGAGCTACTACTCGATCGGCTGGCGGCAAGGACGGCACCAGAAAAATCCCAGTGTGCGAAGAAACCGGAAGAAAAGGTCGGTGCAGTTACTGCTGTGAAGGGCCACACCTCGCCTCTCGACAAAAGAGACAAGCTCTCGCTAGAGCTCGGACTATTCTCCCAAATACTACGTAGAACCCTCGCATACCGTCAGTTTCGGCACCACGCCTAACACGCCCCGCTACTGCTGTCGACCCTCCCTCGCCCTCCCCCCGATAAAAAAAATAGTGAGAGGCCGGGTACCTTGGCTCTCCCTCTCCGAAGTCGACCGTCTCGACGTACAGAGAGTCCGCGTCAGGGTGCTTGGAGCACTCCAGGCAACGCCCCACCCTTATTTCCAGACGGGAGAGTTCCATCATCTCACCGGAGGCGTTTCCCTCGGCCTATCGCGGTGGGGAGGGAGAGCGCGCGCAAGAGGGGGAGGGGGTATCGAAAGTTAACCCATCATGACGTCTTTAGATACCCGAAACCGGCTGATCTACGCTTGAGCTGGCTGATATTGTAGTGGCAGCGGTGAAAACTAGACTGACAGTGCATGTGACTGAAAACTAGATTGCGAAGCAACACCATCTCTCGGGCCTAGTCCGCTATTTGGTGCCAATCATCGGCCGCAGGCATGCGGGACATCACGAGTAAAGTCATCCGCAGGTTCTTTTCGGGTATGCTTTCGGCGGGCGGAGAGACCTGCAAACCTCCAATGCACCGCAGACACTTTTCCCGAAGTTGTCGCCACCACCATGCCCCAACACCTCACCGAAAAAAAAAAAACTTAGCTGTAGGTGTGGGCACCCGAATACTTTGTGCCTATCCGTCATAACACGCAGGATACCAACCACTCTACACCCTCGCCTACATGTGCACGTAGAGCCGACTCGCCTCTGGTGTGGAGAAGCGGAGTTCCCTCGCGGCGTTGTCGCCCGCCTCCCCCGCTGGCGCTGCTGCTGCCGCTGTCGCTGTTCTTCTCACCACCGCCACGTACTCTGTTCCGGGAGAGAGGTCCGACAAAACTAGCCTAGATTGCAGCGAGGCCGTCGCCTGCTCTTGCCGTGAAAAACGACGCACAGGGGAGTCCACGAAAACGAGGGAGGGAATGCCGTCAGCCACCCACAAGCTTGCCCTTCCTATCGAGAACACCGCCCCCCCCACCATCTCTCCTCCATCCCGCTGGGCGGTGGTGCCCCTCTGTTATTCTTTTTGAAGTCTTGTGCCTGGCTTGTAACGACGGGGAAAGTTTTTGAGATGGGTCAATGGAAACAGCAACGATAGCAGCAGCACCAGTACCAGCAACACCAGGTGCAACGGCTTCGTTTTCTGCGGAATCGTTTGGCGTAAGTTCCTTGGCAGAGTCACGCCACCGGGGCGTGGAATACCGGTGGAACAAACTGCCGTGCACGACGTATCCCGAAAACCTCTCGGGTCTGAGACAGCCCGCCGCGAGTCTCAACGACATCTGGCATTTGCCTACGAAGGTGAAGGTGCTACAGTGGACTAAATACTCTCCCCGCATGGCCTGGACGAGCGTGACTGGCATCGTCTCCATGGAGAGGAGGCCGGCCCCTTGCCAGAGCATGTACACCACTCGTACGGTACCAGTTGCCCTAGCGACCCACACATGAAGAAGAACGTACTACCTTACCATGTTATTACTTCCATCCACCTGCTTGGTTTGTAATTTTATTCTGTGTGGACTCCGCGATTTATCTCGATTGCTTTTTCCCGTGGAACCTGGTGTCTTTGCTGGTCGGGTGAGCTCGCAAAACACACAGACACACACCTGATCGAAGATTGCGGGGTTGTCCTCTTCGAACCACTTCACGGAATACCCTACCCCATCACCGCCGAGGGGAGGCAGCTCCACGACGGCCTCTCTCGCCGAGACAACCGACGCTGATACCACCGGAGGCGCAGCAGCAGCAGCAACACTGGCCGCCGAGGCAGCGGCAGCGGTACCGGCAGTGATAGGAAGAGTGTTTCGGGCAGACGCGGCACCACCGGACGCGGGCGGGGCGGCGAAAAAGCCTGTGGGGACGAAGCCAACGGGAGAGTGTGGGTGTGGGAAAATTGTGTGCGTGCCTGTATGTGGTCTTCTTCTTGTGTCACGCGTGTTGCACCCGAAACGGGAAACTTCCGTTGCGACTGACGCATGTGTAAGAAAAAAACGCGTGTCTTGCTAACATGCTTTTGGGAGGGGGGGGGTACCTTGAGCGTCCATACGTCGCATGGTGTACACATTCGGGCTCGGTAGAGTAGACCTCGAGAGCAAACGGGATTGCCAACACTGAGGGGGGGGGTTTGCTCATAGTCTAGCAATTAATTTCTCTATGACCATTGAGTTGGGGTCCCTACAAAGCCGGGACGGAGCACGCCGGTTTGTGCCCGGACCATACTCACACATCACCAACCTCAGCAGAAGTGTCGGTAGACACAACGGCTTACGAGGGGTGGTATCTTACATCATGCAATCGACTGTGCTCACTACATTCGTTGTGGTGATCCGAAGATGCACTCACCAGAGCTTCGTAGAACTCATGGAAAGACGACGCTCATTGCAGGCACGAGTAGATGGGAGAATGCGGTGTTCAGGCATAAGTACAACATGTTCAGCAGGTACCAAGTAGACCTACAGCGTCGACCGTAAACACATCACATGTGAAATTTGGAGCGACCTACCCTACGACCGCTAGGGCTGTGGCTTGCTCTCTCACCAGCTGCGCTTGAAAAACAGCAAGCCCCCAGAACTGTGAGCCGGAGAGATGCCATGTCTATCGCAGTACTGCAGAGGAAGCCCAGCAGGCACGCAATGCGATGCGATGCAATGCAATGCGTTGCGATGTTGCGATTGACACGTTCAGATCGTTGCGATCATGAACCAGGGGATACGCAGACAAGCATTTGTACGTTAATATACCCTGAGTTCCTATTCTACGGAGCGCCATTGACGCAGCGCGCAGCGCGCAGCCCAGCATCAACATACAAGACACCAGCAGCGAGCAGCTGGACCTCCCGATGCAGCAGCGGCGGCAGAAGGGAGATGGAAGACCTAGGAAGAGGCTCACGTGCCTTCAGAATCAAGCCAGTAGTTCCGTGATTGCATTCCTTGCCAGCAGCATGCCGCATGCTGATGCCACACAGCAGCAGCACCAGCAGCACCAGCAGCCGATGATGAACATGATGATCTGCGAAGGCACTACCGCACCGGCAGCGTTCCTCGACCCCACCAGTTTCACCACGAAGCAACAACAACATCACAATGCCAGGCATGTACGTCCGTTGTACCACCAGGCACGTGGTAGCCAAGGTAAATCCACCCCGACTCAAGACGCTCGCAGAACCTCTCCTGTCCGACCGTTACCATCTTCGGCCGCTGGCCTGCTGCTGCCAATGGCTCCGCCGGCAGGCAACGGGGGGCTGACCACAAGCAGCAGCAGCAGCAGCAACAACAGCAACAGCAGAATTGCCAGTGCTCCAACTGCCGCCAACGACCTCCTTCCGTCGGCGTTGCGAAACGGAAATGTGCAAGCGGCAGCGAACAGCCCCGCTGGTGGGGCTGTTCGCTTTCAGGTTCAACAACAGCATCGGCGGCAGCAGCAGCAGCAGAAACAGACAGGGGGCAGCGGCCTTTCATCAACACGCGGGGAGCAGCAGCAGCAGCAGCAGGAGCAGCAGCCTGCGCCGAACGGTGACCGCAACGGCGCCCGAACGGCCGCCGTTTCTCCGGCAGCACAAACAACGTCCACGGCCACCACCCTACCGCGCCAACGGCCCGTGGCACCCGCGCAGCTCCCGGGGCACCTGGAGCACCTCATTGGCCAGGGCGAGTGGAGAAAGGCGGTGGCCGCGTTCGAGAGGGCCCGGAGGCGCGAGGCGGCACTGCTTGCTGTGGCCGCCGCCACCGCGGCGAAGAACCCGCGGGCCCTGCTGTCCCGGGGTGCGTACAACCAGGCGCTGGCGGCCTACGCCACGGGCAGAGACGGGCACAGCGCGCTGGAGCTCCTGCGCGCGATGAGGAAGGCCGGGGGCAGGCTCGCGCCCAGCCGGAGCAGCTTTAACATCTGCCTGAATGTACGTGCGCCCTTGGTTTTGTTGTGGAGTTGTTTTGCTCAAGGTTTGAGATGCTCTTCCGACGACGGGTGCTGGCACCCTCATGTACAGTTTTTGCGTAGGGAAACCTGAGTGACAACCTCGGTGTTGACGCTTCTGTCCATTCCTTCAAACAACACGACCTCATCTTCACTGTAACGCCGAAAGTTGTGGAACCACTGAAAGGGCCTTCGGCGTAAACCCTACTGTAGTTATGCTCCGTGTTGCGGTACATCGAGTGCTTTGGATCGTTCTCGTTGTGCCACGGCAATCGGGGCGGCGGGTCTCTTGTCGATTCGACAACCCGTTTCGTTCTTCTCCGACACGGTATTCGCTCATTGCTGCCCTAAACAGCTGTATGCGCTTCGTCGGCCTCGATGGGATGATGGTGAACGAAGCCATGTTCAGCGACATAGTCGTTTCGAAGTTTTGGGCTGCTACTTCGCTGTATGTCTGAACTCCGGTCGACTTATTTTTTTATCTTTATTTTTGTCGCGTCGCAGGCGTGCAGACACGGGAGGCAGAGGGACAAAGTGATGAGCGTGTTGGAGCTGATGGTGCAGGACGGGATTCCGCCCAGCGGGAAGAGCTACAGCTCTGCATTGCAGGTGAGTTTTTCTTGTTCTCTCTGTTCTTGTGTCGGATGGTCCCATCTTTCCCGTCTTTTCTTCCCGCCTGTCTTCAACAGCCCTAGCCTGTCTACCTCTCTCTATTCTTCGTCACATCTGGAAGAATTGGGAGAAGCCACACAGACCGACGGTTTCAGCCCTCCCATCCCCGACGGGATTTCCTTGCCTCGGTGTCTTGCAACAAACGGTGAAACCGTGTACCATGTATGCCTAGATGTCTAGGTCTTCGTTAGTCTAGTGTGTGTGTAGCGCATGAAAAATACGTGAAAGGCTTCCTTGCGCTTGTCCGTGCCTTGTGGGAACGATTTTGAGCGTTTTTGAGATCCTCCAGAGGTTGAGGGATCTGAAAAGTCGCGATTGCTGGTTGACAGGAGAGTGAGCGATTGCGTTTTTTTTCCAAGCTCTTTGCATCGGTCTGATTTCGGACCCCGGATGAGGCATGTGTTGACCCAGGAATGCAAAACGTAGGTTAGGCTTGCTACTCGGCACGCCCGCTGTGGAACTGGCGACGGAAGAAACAGGACGTGGGGATGGGTTTTCACCGTTTTTCGGCACTGCCATAACTCCTCGAACGTGCAGGCACATATGTCCCACCACTCGTCCGAGTTAGCCTCTCGCAAGTGTCGGTTGCAATAACGTTCCATGTATCCACGTTTCGCGTTATTTTTTGCTCGTCGATGACGGTCACTGCCCGAATGATTTCGTCGGATTTGCCACAACCTCGAAAGTCTGACGACATACATGCACGCAATGTGTGTTCAGTGTTCATGCGAATGTATGGTTGATACCAGATATCGTCGGGATTTTGGCGAGGAAATCAAATGAAATGCTCGGTACCACGTCGCCCAGCGATGTTGAGCTGGTGTACCGTACCTGCCCTCTCCTCTCCTGACTGCCCACGCCTCCTAAGTTTCTGTGTTACGGCAGTTGGTGCCACCACGTTTGAGACGGTGGCAGTTCAGAAATCGAGCCTTACATCTAGAAGACCTTGACTACAAGAAACAGATGCTGAGTCAAGAATCCTACACAAGTCGATGTTGTAATTGCCCGCCAGAGAATGTAAGAACAGTGCCTCTGGCAGAAATAAGGGATTCTTGAGTGCGGGCACGTTCTGCATTTGGTTGTCGGATCCTCCAGAGTGTGATTGAGGGCTCCGCAATGTTGTGACCTCCAGTGTAACCCCCCCCCCCCCCCTCTCCGTTGTGTTAACTTGATCAAGCATCCTCGAGGCAGTTACACAGTGCTTCCAACTGTCTCTGGGTTTAAGGCACCAGAAAATAAATTAAGTCATACGCAGCTGTCATCCGTACGCAAGGAAGTAAGCACAAGATGCCGAACACCCTTAGCAGGATGCAGCTCACCCTTCATGCGACTCGCTGAATACCTCACGGCGCTTCGCGCTTGGTGATGTGAGAGCCTGGTCCGGTGAGAACCCGGCGTGCTCCGTCCCGGCTTTGTAGGGATGCGAGGTCAATGGTCTAACGACTACGGCATGCACGACTATGAGTACACCCCCCCCTCCCCCCTACCTGGCACACGCAAACCCTCGCAAAGCAGGCTTGCGCAAAGGACGGCAACGTTCCCGACGCCCGCAAGATGTTGGGGTGGATGTGGACGTCTCCTGACCTGGAGGGGGGCGTCAAGGGCCTCCGGCCCACGACGTGGGGCTACAACTGCGCCATGGAGGCGTGCGCGAGGTCGGGGGACTGGGGGTCCGCCGTCGAGCTCATGGACGAGATGAGAACGCGCGGTGGGGCTGTTTTTCTTCGCGGTGCCTTGCGTTTGGTCGGTTTGTGGTCGTGTGGGCCAGGCTCCTCATGGCCGAGTTGACTCGGCACGGCGGTGGGATCAGGCACATGATGATGATCTGTTTTTTGATGCCAGGTAGTGGCACCTGTTGTCAAACGTTTGAGAGTCAGTTGGGGATGGTGTAGACGCGCCTGTTCAAAATATGTACGAGGGAAAAAGGACAACAGCCGCAGCAACAACAACAACAAACAACAACAACAAAACGACAGGTCTCAGCCATGATGCCTTTACGTACGGCGCGGCCCTGGAGGCCTGCGGGCGCACGGGGAACTGGCAGAAGGCCGAGGCTATCGTTGAGCAAATGGCGGACGCTTACACCGAGTCTCTCGAGGGCGCTAACGGTAGCGGTGACGATGATGCCGGCGGTGGCGTTTTTGCCCACTCGGGCAAGAAGTCGTCGTTATCCCCGACTGCGGTCCACTGCAACGCGCTCCTTCAGGCATACAGCCGTGGGAAACGGTGTGTGTGTGTGTGCGGGGGGGGGGTAGTGTTGTTTTAGCGGCGGTGGTTGATGTGGTCTAGGTGTTGACGATGGTCCATCCCGGGGCGCTTGATGTCGTGCATGGTGCTGCTACTGCTGCCCCTCCTGCTGCTGTTTTGGAGTTGCTCTTGCGCGATACAATAGCTTAACAACAAGCGTGAGCCCTGCGAATGTAAGAGAAAATTAGAAACGAAGGAAGTCGGAAAATCACCAGGTAGACGAAGGTTCTGAACCTGTTTCACGAAGACCGGAATCGTGTGGTTTCCTGCCGTATGTCGCTCTCGCAAGCCGCGAGGTGTCGAGCTTTGCTCTAGTCTCATCGCGTTTCTACATTGTGGCATTACAGATGACACCGAAGGCATGCTTGAAGGGCTGTATTCTTGTCGCTGTTCCCGCAGCAATCACTCTCTTTTAGCACCACAAACAACGACCTTTGTACCTATGGACGGCCTTGCCTGACGCAATGCCTGACGCAAACAACGTGTCTTTCGTCCCCTCCCTCGCAGGGTGGACAAGGCTCTCCGCTTGCTGGACGAGATGCTTGCGGTAGCGCCCGCGCTGCCTTCCTCGGCGACCCCGCCACCCGTGCTGTCGGCAGCGGCGGCGGCAGCACCCGAGGAGAACCTCGTTAGCACTAGGGTTAGCTTAGAGCCGCCGCCGCCGCCGGTGACAATGGCGGCAGCAGAAGCATTAGCAGCAGAATTAACGGGGTCAGATCCCGTAAAGGACGAAGAGGAATTCAGCAGCGGTAGCGGCAGCAGCAGCAGCAGCACGAGCTACATAGGAACGCAAGGGCTAGCGGAGATTCATTCTCGCCCCCATCCCCCCCTAGACGAAGGAGAATCAAGTCCGCGGGCGAATAGCGAGGCATCGCCGCCGCCGCCGCCGCCGCCGCTAAGCTCGCCCGCGAGCGCGAGCGCGAAGATCGGAAAAGAAGAATCCACCGCCGACGACGGCGGGGAAGGGAGCCGGGACGATGACGATAACGACGACCGGTCAGCGCTGCTGCGGTGGGATCCCCGCCTCCCTCTCCCTCGCCCGGACGCCGTCAGCTTCGGCACTGTCATCGACGGCTGCTCGCGCGCTCGCTTGGCCGACGAAGCGGTCTGTCTGCTCAAGGTCATGGGCGAGGAGAGGATAGGAGGGACGGCCCCTATCGCCGGCGGCGGCGGCGGTGGCAGCGAGATGTGGCGCAGCGGGGGCGGCGGCGGCAGCGGGGGCGGCAGCGGGGACACTCCGCTTCTCCCCCCTAACGTCCACTGCCTGACGGCGGCGATAACGGCGTGCGGTCGCGCGAACCGGTTGGAGCTGGCGATTGCCGTTCTACGAGAGGCGGCGGTATTGGAAGACGCCTGGCTCGACGAACAGGTGCGGCTATTACGGCGGCAGCAAGAGGATGATGCCCGTGGAAAGTCATCACCGGCAAGGCCGGCGGCGGCGTGGGAGTGGGAAGTGGTAGCGGGGCCGGCGGAAGTGTCACCGACACCGGATAGGCGGCGGCGGCGGCAACAGAACCAACCACCGGGCGAGGATACCTCGCCGGTCGTTGACAGCGGCACGTCGTCGACAACAATTTTGAAGGGACGGGGGGTAGAAGCGGACGCAGGAATAGCGGCTTCGGGCGGAAGGTCGTCGGTGAACGAGACGGCAAAGTTCAACAGCGGCAAGCTGGCGGGTGGGGAGGATGCAGAGGCTACCATCGACGGTGACAAGTCAGCTACTGCTGGGGCGGTGGCGGCGTGGGATGGGAGTGAAACAAGCACGGCGGAGGGTCCTTTGCGGGCACGGTCGTCTCTCCAGCCGGCCTTCAACGCGGCAATAAATGCCTGCGTGAAAGCCGGGAGCCACGGCGAAGCCCGCTTGCTGATGAGGGACATGGGGGAGCGGGGGCTAAGACCTGGGAGGGAGGCGTTCAATAGTCTGCTGGTGGCGTGTTCGACCTCCTACGAGGTGCGTGTTACTTTTAACTATTTTGATTTTTTTGTCAAGTTTGATGGGTTGTGGGGGGGCAGCGGTGGCTGGGCTGTCGCATCTTGTTGGCCCTGAGTCGACGGGCCGTTCGCGTGTATCTAGAAAAGCCGCTTCCGTAGCAACGGGCGGCGGAAATCCCCTCCTCATTTCCCACCCCGACTCCTCCACTTTCCAAGCCTGTTGCTTTTTTGCCGGTACACGCGGGCCAGCTTCGCCCCCCCCCCCCTCCAACGTTGAGTCCTACATGACGACGAAACCCCCCCCTCTGGGCTGAAAAGGCTAGAAGCGGTACAGATTTTAAGGATTGGCAGGTTAGGGAAAACGTTATTGAGCTCCTTTGGCACAGCGGTAGGAAGGAACGATTGGCCATCGGGGATCGGTCCTGCGGGAACAACGCCCCATCCCCTCGAGAACGTGTGGTCAATGGTCTAACCGCTCCGCCATGCGAACCCCCCCCCCCCA